TCCTTAAAGCGAAACATTAATTTGTATAAATACATTAAAAAAACACATAAACAAAAAATTCAGGTTGTGGATCAAAGATTTTTTTTTTTTGCGGTGGATGGAGTGGGGGTGGGGTGTTTCACATTAACTTTAACAGATGCCAAACATAAAAATTTTGACATGCAAGTAAAAAAAACTAAAAATCACTGAAAAACCTTTTCAATTTCAGGATTTGGGGGGGGGGGGGGTGTTATGAAAAGATACTCTCTCAAGTCAGTTCCTTCATATATATTACTATGCTTACCAATATAAGAGGGATCCTTGTTTCCTCGGCAAAGGTCATTTTACTGTTACTTTTACTATGAAAGTCTATAGATCAGATTTGCACATGTATGGAAATTGCAAATTGCAATACATTGATTAATTTTGCAAGATGACAGTGTCAAACTGATTTATTTTCAGATAAAAGATAATGCATGAATGTATTATAAATGTATTTCTATATTCTTTCCCTTTTTACTCTACAAAAGCCAAGAAAAACTCTTGTTAGCAGCAGTACAGAACTTCATGTAAATTATACAGGGTAGCTCTACATGCAGATACATGTACTCTACACTCTACAGATTCAACAGAATATTTAAAAAATGCTGCTAGCATCTAGAAAAAAAACCAATTTAGCCTTTTGCAGTTATTCACTGGTATAAGCAGTCATTTATTTTTAAATAGAAAGACTTATCAAATAAGAAAAGAAATATAAATCATTATTTATTTATTTGTTGTTTATGTCTCTGATCAGAAGAAAATAAATACTGTAAAATATATATTTTTTAATTTTGAGGGGTCAAATTTTCAAGGTTTGAGAAAAAATATTTAATTTCATGGTTGAAGAAGTGTGGCATTGTTAAAATTTATAAAACTCCGTAAAATTAATATTTCCACAGTACAATACTGCATCATAATGTACATGCCCATGCATGTAAAACCTTCCAATAGTGATCACTGAATTTTAATTCCCTCTGTCCATTTAAAAAAAAAACATGTTGCTTAAATGTATTTTATTTCCTCCAATATTTCTCAGTTTGCAAGATAAATGGATTTGTGTCATAACATTTTGACATTCACCGAAAAGTCAGTATAAAAACAGGCATAATTTCAAGGTCAAACCTATAATTATATTTTTTTAATACTTTCATAGAGAGAATGAAGAAATTATCTATTGAAACTATCAGTTATATTAGGCACAGATGGATCTTAAGATAATGTATGTATATTACCATGTATAATAATTATTGAGTTTTTTTCATTTGCACCCTTTAGCTCACCTGAGCTGTAAGCTCAAGTGGTCACATTTGTTCAGTGTTCGTCTGTCTGTCCAATTGTAAACTTTTTGACTTCCTCTCCAGAACCACTAGGCCAATTTCAACCAAAAGTGTTACATACAGGGTTAGAAACCCCCTAAAATTACAACTCGCAAATAATTGCGAGTACCAACAAAGTGAACTCAAAATTTAATAAGACTACTCGCAATTTTTATGTAAAGTTAAATTGATATAAATTAAATACATGTAACTTAAGGAAAAAGTAACTATTGTACAATACACAAAATACAACTACAGTGTAACTTTTATTTAAATTACTGATTTAAACCAAAAGTATTGTGTTCTGTCATATTATATAATTTTGCTACAGTTTCAATGCAAAAAAACTCAACTCGCAAGTTTTTGCGAGTTACCTAATTTTTAACTCGCAGTTTGGGAATTCTAACTCGCGTTTTGCGAGTTGTATATAGTGAATTTCGAACCCTGACATAGCATCCCTGGGTTAAGGAAATCCAAGTTTATTTATAGAAAGGCCATACAATCTTTCAAGAGGGAGAAAACCTAGTGAAAATTTAGTGTCATCTTTAAAATAAACAGATATAGTGTAGATCCAGCTCTGTTCAAATCTTTACCTTTTGGGGTAGGATGGGATCAACAAGGGCAATCAAAGTCTTACATAGGGATATATATAGGAAAAATCTTTAAACATCATCTTCTCTAAAACAGCAAGGCCTTGATCAGTCATACTGATATGGAAGCATCTTCAGGTATGTAGATTTAAATTTGTTCAAATCACATTTCTTAAAATAAATTGTGTGAAGCGTCCTAATTCATGTCCTTATGAATTATCAAAAGTTGAATTCATTTCTTAAATGAACTCATTGTATCCTAGTGTGCCAATAACAAGCAAAATTATAAATGGTGTGCAATATATTTCATGAGAAAATCAAAATTCCCAAGTCTTGTAGATACAAGCTGGGTTGAGGGGGGCTAAAATCTGCCTAATCTGGAAGCAAATTTTACATTATACAGATTGGCTACATAAGTCATATTGCTATCCAGCATATGCATTTGTTGTGAGTGGATTCAAGTATGCATAAGTCATGGCCTCTTGATGCTAGGGTACAGCCCCATTAAGAACATGAATGTTTCATGGGAATATAGATTGCAATGTTTTTCAAAAACTTCTAAAAAATAATAGCATTGCTTAGGTGGCTTAAGTGAGCAGTGTGACCTATGGAACTCTTCTTATTAATTTTTTTCTTTTAATTCATAAATTGCTAATTTGAACCCAAGGTAATATTTTAATTTTACTCAGATTAAAGGAATAAACTATCCTTTGAGATTGTCATTTTTTCTCCATTTAAGGAAATATTTTGGACAACTTTGTGTAATATTGTTTTAATTTTTTAAGTTTTTACACAGCAGTCAGATTTTCTTGAGAGACTAGTACTGTGATTGCCAGGGAGTCAAGACACAGACATGAGTGAGAGAAGTGAGATGACAGAAGCCACTAGCATTATGGGTCTCTCTGGTTATGTTCCAAAAAGTACAGTTTGAGATGATTTCTTTGAATGCTGTGACATGGGCATTTTCCTATCAAGAAACAGATGAGAAATAAATGGATTAAAGCTTTCATCGAATGAGGAATGACTACTCAATTAAAAGAAGAGAAATAATGAATTCAAGACAAATTATGTAAAAAGAAAGAAAAGAATTCTCATAAATAAATTGAACATACTTTTGTTTGAATTTTCATAAATAGTTCACTGGAGTGTTACCAACATTTTTTGATAATTTAAGGATTACAAAATGTCTGTTCAGCTCTGTTGCAGTGGACCTCATTTGGTTGCTATACACGAATTACATAACTGATGCAGAAAATTGAATATGTTTTATAAGTCATAAGTGAGATGAAGCTTAGATATCTTGTTTTCTGTATATAAATGCATATTCTCCTTCATTTTTTTGTCAGTGTTTTGAAAATAGATTGGTGACTATGCAGTAAAATTGGTTGTTAAGGGCACATAACATAATTATTTCAACATTATATCACTTTATTTATTGATGTTGCAAGAGAATATTAGCAAATATACATGAAATAGTATCAACATGGAAGAAATTGAAGGTTTTTCCCTTAAAAATTGATGTGTGTTTTTAACCTTTATTTGGTGTAAAACCTTAAAATTTAATCTTTTTTCTACAAAAAAATAAAAATGTCTCTCAATTTTATATGTCATTCTTGTAGATCACCTCTGTTTTGAATGATTCAGTTTCAATTTAATGCTCAACTTGTTGCAGATTAGATATATACAAGTTTAAACTAGAGAGGTAATTTTCAAATTTTTAAACTGTAAAACTATACAAGTTTGTGTTGCCATGGCAACAGATCCAAGGTATTTAGATCTGCGTTTATATTTTCTTGTATAATACATACCTTTAATAATAAGTTCATACTCTGCTGAATTTGATAGCGATATACGTTTTGTTTAAACATACATGTATTTAGAAAATTGTTAAGATTGAAGCAGTTTTTTCTAATTTTACTGTTGTTTCCATGGTAACAGATAATAAGAGGAAAGATAATAGTTCTGTTGGTCAATCATAATTATGATTGACCAAGATAATGAAGGTATCAGACGAAAATTGCATAAATATTGCAACTAGGGATGCACACTACTAGATTATTTGTTTGAATTCTCATAACTACAATAGTCCATTGGAGTGTCTCCAATAGGTTTTGATAATTCATAAATAACAAAATGTCTGTTCAGCTCTGTTGCTATGGACATCATTTAGTTGCTATGCACAGAATATGATTGATGCTGAAATTTAAGTATGTTTTATTATTTCCTAAGTGAAATAAAACTTTTTTATCTAATTTTTTATATCTAAATACATGTTCTCCTTTATTTTTTGACACATTCTCTTGAAAATGCCTTGGTTGTTATGCAGTGAAATTGGTTGCTATGGGCACATTACAGGATTTTTATCTCATAATATCACTATATTTATTGATAACGCAAGAGTATAATTGCAAATATACATTTAAAAATTATCAATTTGGAAGAAATTGAAAGTTTTCCTTAAAATTTGCTGTGTATTTTTAACATTTTTTAAGAGTAAAAACATAAAATTTAACCGTTTTTTCCACAAAAACAATAAAAATGCTTCTCAATTTTATATGTCATTCTTGAAAATCAACATGTATTGTGCAGGAATCAAATTCATTTTAATGCTCAGCTTGTTGTAGATTTTATATATATAAGTTTAAACTTGAGAGGTAATTTTCAATTTTTCAAATTGTAAAACTGTACAATATTTGTGTTGCCATGGCAACAGATTCCTAGGTATTTAGATTTGCTTTTAAACTTTTTTGTATACTACATATCTATAATAATTAGCATAAAGTCTGTTGTAGATGATATCAGTATTCGTTTTGTTAAAATATTCTTCCAAAAATGTTAAAATTGAAGCTATTTTTCTAAACTTAGGATGGTTTCCATGGCAACACATAGCAAGGGAAAAAAATAATAGTTTTGTTGGTCAAACATCATTTTCATATATGTAAAAGTTGTGTACTATGAAGACTTTTTACAACCAATAAAAGAAAACAGGAGGAAAAAAATTTAAGTTTCCATCTGAAGCTTGATGATTCGTGACATTCTCTCTGAAGTATTTCCATAGTATTTTGTTTTCAATTTTTCAGCTCCCGTCTCTGATATAACTCTCCACCTTCGTCCTCAATATCAATATGGAACAGATGATTTCATCAACTGTAGCGCAAAGACAATGGAACCATCAACAACTACTCTGTCCCTGGAAGTTTGTCATTCTGATTCTACTTTTATTCCCATCGAGAAATATAATATATCCTCTGTTGTCTTCAATGAGACTAGTCTGAAAAACGAAAATTGTTCTCAGGAAATGCTGCTTGGTCACCGTGTTCTCTTCAATAATCAAATGAACGTCTCCTTGCGATGTACAGTTCATGGTTCTGATATGAACACACCATTGTCTACAGATTGTGAGATTCCCGACATTTCAACTGCATTGGGTAATCTTTTCAACTCTAAATCGTCGTCTTTTCCTCTCAGATTATGCTTGTTAGCCCTATGTTGTTTCAAGTTTTCATGGGTGATAATTTCCAGTGATACCACCCTCAATTTATTACATTCGATGTTCTTGAGATCAAACAAGAAATACACATCATGAATGTAAACTTTCAGGAATGAAAGTACTGATATGAATATTTACCTTTTCATCAGAACGTTCATAAAAGCAAACTAATATATCATTGAAATTTTACATCAAAATGCATATCATTATGAGATGTGACACTGCTCCCACAAACACAAAGGAGACTTTAATTCAATTTCATAATAACAATTCAGTCGCATTGTTGGAAATGTTTTGTATTAAGTTGAATTGTTTTCTCTCTTGATTTGTGGAAAGTGTTTCATTCCTACTAATGATGCTATTTCAGATTCAGAAACGAGAAGTTTCTTTCATAAATTTCATTTCTGAACTAAACCTTTTAGAGTGTTTTACAATCATTTGAAATGAGCAATAAGTATAAGGTGGTATTATCTCGAATTTGTCTTCATGGGTTTAACTGGGGAGTTACCGACCATATCACTTTTTCTAGTAATAAGAGATGTTTTATTTCTTTGAGAGCTTTCTTTGCTGATTTTTGTTTCTTGCAATGCTTTGTCTAAGACGTTCAAAGTCTACAAAAATTCTTTACCTATATTATCCGTATTTTTCAGTGGTTGCTGTAATGGATACTTCGAGCCATGTCATTATGATACAAACAACGATAGAATTGTTGTGTCATTTCAATGTGAGCAGTTTTGAATGGGAGGCTGTTCGGTTAGACTTTCAAAACGAATCTTTAATCTCTCAAACAATCGTAAGCGTCACAAACAGCAGCAAAACCTCGAATGAAAATCGAATAAATGCGTCTTTGAGTGTAGATTCGTATTTCGTGAATGTTTCCTTTGTCTTGGATTTTGCAACTTCGAAGGATGCTTGCTCTCTGTCCGGGATGTACACATGCTCCATAGATATGGTAGACAAACACATCGCTACAGAAAGCGCGAGCACAGTTTTGAACTTTTCAGGTAAATTGGACACACCTCTTTTCCATGTTTTCGTTAGCATACCTTGGTTATATCAAAGAAATTTAAGTATTTCCATAGTATTTTGTTTTCCATTTTCAGCTCCCGTCTCTGATATAACTCTCCACCTTCGTCCTCAATATCAATATGGAACAGATGATTTCATCAACTGTAGCGCAAAGACAATGGAACCATCAACAACTACTCTGTCCCTGGAAGTTTGTCATTCTGATTCTACTTTTATTCCCATCGAGAAATATAATATATCCTCTGTTGTCTTCAATGAGACTAGTCTGAAAAACGAAAATTGTTCTCAGGAAATGCTGCTTGGTCACCGTGTTCTCTTCAATAATCAAATGAACGTCTCCTTGCGATGTACAGTTCATGGTTCTGATATGAACACACCATTGTCTACAGATTGTGAGATTCCCGACATTTCAACTGCATTGGGTAATCTTTTCAACTCTAAATCGTCGTCTTTTCCTCTCAGATTATGCTTGTTAGCCCTATGTTGTTTCAAGTTTTCATGGGTGATAATTTCCAGTGATACCATCCTCAATTTATTACATTCGATGTTCTTGAGATCAAACAAGAAATACACATCATGAATGTAAACTTTCAGGAATGAAAGTACTGATATGAATATTTACCTTTTCATCAGAACGTTCATAAAAGCAAACTAATATACCATTGAAATTTTACATCAAAATGCATATCATTATGAGATGTGACACTGCTCCCACAAACACAAAGGAGACTTTAATTCAATTTCATAATAACAATTCAGTCGCATTGTTGGAAATGTTTTGTATTAAGTTGAATTGTTTTCTCTCTTGATTTGTGGAAAGTGTTTCATTCCTACTAATGATGCTATTTCAGATTCAGAAACGAGAAGTTTCTTTCATAAATTTCATTTCTGAACTAAACCTTTTAGAGTGTTTTACAATCATTTGAAATGAGCAATAAGTATAAGGTGGTATTATCTCGAATTTGTCTTCATGGGTTTAATTGGGGAGTTACCGACCATATCACTTTTTCTAGTAATAAGAGATGTTTTATTTCTTTGAGAGCTTTCTTTGCTGATTTTTGTTTCTTGCAATGCTTTGTCTAAGACGTTCAAAGTCTACAAAAATTCTTTACCTATATTATCCGTATTTTTCAGTGGTTGCTGTAATGGATACTTCGAGCCATGTCATTATGATACAAACAACGATAGAATTGTTGTGTCATTTCAATGTGAGCAGTTTTGAATGGGAGGCTGTTCGGTTAGACTTTCAAAACGAATCTTTAATCTCTCAAACAATCGTAAGCGTCACAAACAGCAGCAAAACCTCGAATGAAAATCGAATAAATGCGTCTTTGAGTGTAGATTCGTATTTCGTGAATGTTTCCTTTGTCTTGGATTTTGCAACTTCGAAGGATGCTTGCTCTCTGTCCGGGATGTACACATGCTCCATAGATATGGTAGACAAACACATCGCTACAGAAAGCGCGAGCACAGTTTTGAACTTTTCAGGTAAATTGGACACACCTCTTTTCCATGTTTTCGTTAGCATACCTTGGTTATATCAAAGAAATTTAAGTATTTCCATAGTATTTTGTTTTCCATTTTCAGCTCCCGTCTCTGATATAACTCTCCACCTTCGTCCTCAATATCAATATGGAACAGATGATTTCATCAACTGTAGCGCAAAGACAATGGAACCATCAACAACTACTCTGTCCCTGGAAGTTTGTCATTCTGATTCTACTTTTATTCCCATCGAGAAATATAATATATCCTCTGTTGTCTTCAATGAGACTAGTCTGAAAAACGAAAATTGTTCTCAGGAAATGCTGCTTGGTCACCGTGTTCTCTTCAATAATCAAATGAACGTCTCCTTGCGATGTACAGTTCATGGTTCTGATATGAACACACCATTGTCTACAGATTGTGAGATTCCCGACATTTCAACTGCATTGGGTAATCTTTTCAACTCTAAATCGTCGTCTTTTCCTCTCAGATTATGCTTGTTAGCCCTATGTTGTTTCAAGTTTTCATGGGTGATAATTTCCAGTGATACCATCCTCAATTTATTACATTCGATGTTCTTGAGATCAAACAAGAAATACACATCATGAATGTAAACTTTCAGGAATGAAAGTACTGATATGAATATTTACCTTTTCATCAGAACGTTCATAAAAGCAAACTAATATACCATTGAAATTTTACATCAAAATGCATATCATTATGAGATGTGACACTGCTCCCACAAACACAAAGGAGACTTTAATTCAATTTCATAATAACAATTCAGTCGCATTGTTGGAAATGTTTTGTATTAAGTTGAATTGTTTTCTCTCTTGATTTGTGGAAAGTGTTTCATTCCTACTAATGATGCTATTTCAGATTCAGAAACGAGAAGTTTCTTTCATAAATTTCATTTCTGAACTAAACCTTTTAGAGTGTTTTACAATCATTTGAAATGAGCAATAAGTATAAGGTGGTATTATCTCGAATTTGTCTTCATGGGTTTAATTGGGGAGTTACCGACCATATCACTTTTTCTAGTAATAAGAGATGTTTTATTTCTTTGAGAGCTTTCTTTGCTGATTTTTGTTTCTTGCAATGCTTTGTCTAAGACGTTCAAAGTCTACAAAAATTCTTTACCTATATTATCCGTATTTTTCAGTGGTTGCTGTAATGGATACTTCGAGCCATGTCATTATGATACAAACAACGATAGAATTGTTGTGTCATTTCAATGTGAGCAGTTTTGAATGGGAGGCTGTTCGGTTAGACTTTCAAAACGAATCTTTAATCTCTCAAACAATCGTAAGCGTCACAAACAGCAGCAAAACCTCGAATGAAAATCGAATAAATGCGTCTTTGAGTGTAGATTCGTATTTCGTGAATGTTTCCTTTGTCTTGGATTTTGCAACTTCGAAGGATGCTTGCTCTCTGTCCGGGATGTACACATGCTCCATAGATATGGTAGACAAACACATCGCTACAGAAAGCGCGAGCACAGTTTTGAACTTTTCAGGTAAATTGGACACACCTCTTTTCCATGTTTTCGTTAGCATACCTTGGTTATATCAAAGAAATTTAAGTATTTCCATAGTATTTTGTTTTCCATTTTCAGCTCCCGTCTCTGATATAACTCTCCACCTTCGTCCTCAATATCAATATGGAACAGATGATTTCATCAACTGTAGCGCAAAGACAATGGAACCATCAACAACTTCTCTGTCCCTGGAAGTTTGTCATTCTGATTCTACTTTTACTCCGATTCAGGATTTTCTGAAAACATCTGCTTTTAATGAGACTAGTCTGAAAAACGAAAATTGTTCTCATGAAATCTTGCTAAGTCATCTTGTTCCTTTTGACAATCAGATTAATGTATTCTTCAGATGTAGATTTTACAATTCCGACTTAAATACAACGATGGTTTCCAACTGCACGAAACCAAATATCGTTCCTGTTTTAGGTATTTCCTAAGTTTTGATTACGGAGTAGTTTTAAACATATTTTTTTATTCGAATAATTGAGTTTTATTTTAGATAGCATCACATCATGTGCTTTTTCAACTGTTATATATTACTTCTTTTTTTATAAAATGCCAAGAGGAGAGAGTCATACATTTAGCATATCTTATTAACCACGAGAGAGAGAGAGAGAGAGAGAGAGAGAGAGAGAGAGAGAGAGAGAGAGAGAATTTCAAAATAATTTTGGCTGAAAAACAATTTCATTACCAGGAACTTGTCCTAATGCTAGTAACACGGGATGCTGGTTAAAATATCACTAATATTATGAATGATCGTCAAGGAATTTTATATCTATTTTGGCCATAATTAATCAACAATCAGTGTATTTTTAATTATTTCCTTAGGCTTTAATGTTTTCCACTATCATATATACTAGTTGTGCTCGCTGATGTGTTTTTATTTTTCTACACTTTTGACACGTAAGTAATGTTGCCTATTATTTATTACAGTGATTGCAGAAATGACTCCATCAATATCTGCTAAGTTGGATACTGTTACAGAAATGAACTGTTTCATACAAACCATGCGGTTAACATGGACATCTGTTTTTATAAAAGGACACAACGAAACAGCATCCAATGTATTATTAACTATCTATAATGATAGCAAGATAGAATCTCAGGACTCTAAAATCAAAGGCACAGTTATTATTGATGATGAATATGTTAATGTTACAGTTTTCCTCAATACAAGTAAAGACTCGAATGCTTGTGAACTAAATAAAAATTACTCATGTGACATTACTCTCACGGACACATCAATTCAAACTATACGTGCCAATACTTCATTTATGATACAAGGTAAGTCCGAGATGTTAAAACTATAGATTTCCATAGTGAGATTAAAATGAAACGTATGTTTGATTATGGACAAATATTTATTTACTAAAATGATTTAATAGTATTTCTTCCTGATACTAAGTATATGCATTTTCTATTAAAAAACATTATCTTGTCTTATAAGAAAAAGAAAGAGTGGATCTACGAACATTACCTTTTATCATAAAAAAGAAAGAGTGGGTCCACGAGAGCCTTTAGCATGCAGTCATAATAATACAATGTACAAGAAAATGTTATATGCTTTGAATTGGTTTAAAATAAATAAAGGAAAAAAGAGGAATAGTTAGCTATTTCTAATCCAATACACACTTACAGTGTATACGTGTAACTTTATACCCAGTTTAAACGCTTAATATTCATGTCTTCTTGTACCCTTCTAGCTCCTTTGTCTACAATTGAAATAACTGCCGACTATTCCTACGTCAGTGGGTCCAATGTTACCATTAACTGTACCGTTCAGCTTGGAGACCTTAATGACACAGAAGTTTCCTTGGAAGTCTGTCAAAATGGAAAGTATGAGGATATACAGGCAACAGAAAAAGTGGTTCAAGAGGTCTTCAAATTGGATAGCGATAAAAACGCCTTTTGTACAAATCAAGTACTGTATAGCTATCACATACTTTTGATGGATTCAAGAAATGGATCATATGTCCGATGTCACGGTAACGATGTCCTCTACAACGAAACTTTGTCAACAAAGTGCGTGTCAATCAATGTTACGCAAGGTAGTTTGTTTTAAGACAGCATAAAAATTTTGATGTATAGGTTAAGATAAAAAAAATTATTAGAACATAAAAATTTTGATGTAGAGGTTTAAATAAAAAATAATTAATTATATATTGATTAATTATAGTTAAGTATCTATAGTCACCTATGCATGTAGTTATAAATTAGAAATCTAAACTATCAAAATAGCAAAGCATACCCAGTATATTGAATCAAGGTAACTTGCTTAATGGAAAGTCATCATATATGATTATATTTCTTATATTTTTCATTCTCTTGCAGTCGAAGCTGATATGGAGCCAGAAAAGTTATATGGAGAGCTGAACTCAACAGCTACCTTTAAATGCAGAATTCCTCTCTCTCAATCTTATTTCTCTGCATTCCAGTTTTTCAACGATTCTTCTTATCCACTTATATCAATAAATTCTGACAACAACTATACTATTCTACCCCAGAATGATCGAATATCTGCAGTATATACTAGCAATCAGTTTGATGAGTACAGAGCAGTGAATTTCACCCTTGACCTCCGACCCGGAGATGACCTTTGCAACTTAGCTGGCCCTTACTTTTGTAAAGTAAATACCTTCAACGAGAGTCTTATTCTTCCTGCAGATGACGTTGGCTATCTGTATATAGCAGGTAAATAAATAAATTCATTTTCCATTTGTAGAGTTGTTTTCAAAAATCAGTGAGAAATTTACTCTTGTATTAGCCGTTAATTTGTCTCAGATTTCCGAGGACAAAGTTTGATTGATATCTGTATAATCTCTGCCATCATAAAAATAAATGAACAAAAATATGCGTTTGGTGTGATATCATAAGACGGCGGAGAATGCAATTTTGCTCGAATATTTTATATAAGCCGAATAATTGCTACATAAACTCAAAGTCTAAGGACATTTATCTGTCACAAATTTCCACTGTTCAAAAATAACTTCGATGTTTTCGCACAATTTGTTAAATATGAGAATGATTTAATAGAAATGCCAGAAAGACATTAATTAAACGGATCAGTAAAAGCGAAATATTATTGATCTTTTTTACATTAGTCTATTTCCGCTTTGAATTCAAGTAAATTTTGTCAAAATTACATGTACTTCCGAGGAGATATGAGACAGTCTATTGTTCGTTAAAATTTTAATTCAAAACTATAGGCCTAAGTAAGATCTTAGAAAATTTTAAGCTTAAACGGTAATCCTTATATCAGTGTCTAATGAACTGAATTAACTCTCATAACATTTCAGCACCTCCTACCGATGTGTCCATCGAGATCGAACCTAGTTATCTGAATGCTTCACTGGGTGGTGACACCATCAACTGCACTGCAATAATGAATCCTAATACAACAACATTGTCACTTGTTATCCTTTTTAATGAAACTTATGAAATGGTTCCGAGAAACATAACAGAAATATTTACGGGACCCATGGTGACTAGTGATTGTCGTTATGAAAGCCGTGTAGTGGTTACTGCAACGTTTGACAACTTTGGTGGAAGTACTGTCGCTTGCTTAGCAATAGACAACGCATTTGGTAAAGAATATTTTTCTACAAGAGAAACCATAAATATAACTTATGAAGTTCATTGAAAAAGTTTGTGAACGAAACCAAAAAATGCAAAGTTATATTTCTGTTGAATTGATATAAATGTATTGTTATTAATTACATGTATAGACAAGATGTTGAAAAATTGCTTCAATGGTTTTTCGTTGTTTACTTGTGTTTTCACGCAATACAGTCATCTGGCCAGTCTATGTGGCCGGTCAATGTTGTTACATATGATTTAGTCTCGAGATTTGATAAAATATCAAACGCAAAATGTATGTATATAATATAAAACGCATTATTACATCATACTTTCTTGCGGGTATAACCGATCTTTAACATGCATATTTTTCTTACACAATAAATGAACATGTTTACATGGAATATATATACTTTAGTAAATGTAGCTCATGCAACTTTTTTGGTTTTTTACAACAATATTTTTAAGAGAAATCTTAGTCTTGACAATACAAACACGCTATTGATATTTAAGTGAGTGAGACCACGTGACTTCCAAACTGAGGTGAGAAACACGTAAAATTACCGTTTGACATAATTTGTATCACGTTTTGAGTTGCAGTTCATCCAGGGCGATTCCAACTTTTACTCCTCTGCGTGTTTTCCTATATGAATACACTACTTTCGGTCTCTTTCCTGTTTGGGTTTCATTTTTTTAAGCCCAGAGTCAGAGATTTTGGACTACCATGTGTTCGTTTGACTTAAATCGTGCGATTTGTTTTTAAAGTCGCTACACATGCGCAAGCTTTGCATTCTTTCTATTTTTTTTTGGTGTGACTCAACAACTTTTTAAAATTTAATATATTAATATATTTTAAAAGACACCGACTCTGAGAATATAATTTTACGAAAATGGAAACTTTCTAGGAGAATTATTTTTTACAAACAACCAGATATATTTTTTAACCATAACTATCGGAGCAAGTGGCTTTAAAGACATACAGTTGAAAAATAAATAAAAAATGATTTATCAAAACTATACTTTATATTAAAAGAACTCTTCTGAACATTTCCTCATAAATATTCTAATCATTTCCATTTGTTAATGAAAGAAGCGAAAAACATAGGTAAGAAGATGTCAATTAAAGTATTTCTTTGTGTGTTCTTCTTTTTTATTCATTTAGATAAACAACAGGATTGCAGGAATTAGCCTTATTAAAAGAATAAAAAGGACGAATAATGACCCCCATAGAAAAATGACCGGGCGTCGGAAAATGACCCCCAGCCCAGCCGTAAAAAATGTCCTTTTTTGTAGGACCCTAGGGGTCAGTTTTCTACTATAAGAAATTGACTCCCGTTAAAAAATGACCCCCATCCTAACAAAGAAGTACTAAGTTTAAAAGAGGTCACTGATGCCAAGTTTGGGGCTCAGCGTTTAATTCTCTTAACTTGTAAGTTTTTTTTCTGTCGAACACTGGACGAACATACAATTAAAATTATATATATATATATATATATATATATATATATATATATATATATATATATATATATATATATATATATATATATATATATATATATATATATATATATATATATATATATATATACATTTGTAATAGCATTACATGCGTTTCAATCTATTAGACATATTGTGTTCTCAAAACACAATAAAAACGAACAACATATACGTCACAGTGGCTATCTGTTAAGACCTTTTTTATGTCTTACATAACGGTAGTCGGGACAACATATTATCATCGCCAAAATTTATTTCATCTGAGCATTTTCTCGAAAATGTCTTGGAAGAATCTTAATTAAAATTTTCAGAAATGACGATCAGCAATTTTAGATATGCTTTAGACATTGTTTTTCAAAATGACCGCCGTTGCCATAAAAACAAATGGAAAATGACAAATTTTGTTCACAAATTTCTTGCAGCCGGCTTTGACAATCTTTTTGAAACCTAACTTAAATAAATAACTATCAGCAACACTAGTTTAGTCGTGCTCTCTAAATTTAATTTTTTTAAATGACGATCATTGCAATGGAAACGACGCGGGAATCTTTTTTTTTTTTTTTACAAAACTAGTGAGTTAACTAAAAGTTCTGGGGGTTTTTTTTATTGTTTTGTTTAGGGTTTGTTTTGTTTTATTTTATTTTTTTTTTTGTTTGGTTGGTTGGTTTTTTTGTTTGTTTGTTTGTTTGTTTGTTGTTGTTTTTTTTGTTATTGTTGTTGTTTTAATTTTGATATTTTACTGAATATAGACGTTTAAGGCCATTTAACAATTCAAAAAATCAGATAAACAGGATATCTTTTGAATTGAATTTTCCATCAACAACTTCTTATATGTATTTACGTACTGTAATATCCCAATATTACCTGCATATAGAATTTATGTCTTCAAACTTATTCGGTAAGCCAGAATATCCGCTGAGTACAATCAACTTTTAAAACTAGTCAGGATACTGACAAATAAGTTGATTTTACAGAGCTTTCAACGGTCTAAATCAAAGTCAGCGTTTCGAAAATTCCAGTGTCATTATACGTAATGACAGTGCTAGCAAATACATTAAGTTTTTTTTTTTAGAATCGTGTTATCTTTAGCACATTTAAAAGAATTCATGAAGGCCATTACTTTTACACATACGGAATTAAAGGCAATAGTACTGTGTTGTTGAAACCAAGACAAAAATATATAATTGTTTTGACGAATTATATAATTATATCGACAAAAAAGATATTTGTTCTGACCAGTCGGGCGAACAAGATGTTTGTTTGGACAAATATATTCTTCCTTCATATAAATTAAATATACTCGTACGTTAGGAGAAATTAAAAGTATATATTTTTATGTTCGGAATTGTTTTGAAGAACTTGATATTTGCATGGACAACTTGCTGAAATACAAATTTGTTCGAACAGAATTGATATTCTTCTTTAGACAAGACTTATCATTCCTCTGATAAAGGACAGTATCAAGAAAATCAAAGATAGTACATGTATGAAATAGGGAGATAACGAACAGTATTCAAGCTCAAAATCCATTAAACTATACACATCGGGAGCAGAGCAAACAAAACATTAGAGGTGGGGTCAGGTGCCATGGAGGAGTGAGCATCCCATGTCGACCGGTCACATCCGCCGTGTGCTCCTTGTCATGATCGGGAAATAACGGAAAAATTCGTCGACAATTCAGTGTGTAAATGATGCCTACGATTAGTTTTAGTATGAAAAACTTCAGTTAGAAAATGACTTAATGATAGATTGTATTTGCTGAAAAGGTCATTGTATCGACCATTGTACTTACGAAATTATGACTTTAAAGGAGACTGTTGTTATTCTTGTTTCATAAACTTGTTTGTTAATAACTTACCTCGTTCTAGAAATTTTTCATACGTAGAGAATCTCTTGCGTCGTTGATATATCTTAATGTCGATTCGAAGGCCATAGCAAGAGATCTTTTTAATATCAACATCAGAGTACTTATGTGTACAATCAGAATGTTTTTTGAAAAAATAATTAATTTTGCAAATGACCGATGACAAGGTAAGTAATTTACGGGTTCATTTTTTTTATTAAAAAAGCGGCTGTCAATGATGTCAAAAAGCCTGAACTCTAATTTATCGTGTGGAATGGTTGCATACATAGTTGAAAAGTCGTACGTTTTTATGTTATTGATTTTGGTTAAATTTTGTGATTTTAAATTTTCCACTTCTTTTTTTTTTACTTCTGAATTATTGAACACAGAGGGATATATGGTTTTCATATTGCCCCTCAATCGCTTAATTCGAGATTTTAACATACATCTGATACATTTAATCCATTCTGACAAAGTGTCAAGGTCTTCTTTTTCATGTTTGGCCCATCATCTGGCGTAATCTTCCACAGAATTCATAATATTTATGAAATTATGATTCCAGTTGAAAGATTGGGATTCTCTAAATTTTGGCCCGTTTAAAATAAGTGATTTAAGGTCCTCATCATTATCTATATCTACGTCACCATTAATAACGTGCCCAGCAGGACTATAGTTGTAGGTAAAGAAGAACATGAACACGATGGAGGATTATGTTTTAGATGCTTAATATCCAGGCTCTGTAAAGTTTTCTTGTATTTAAAAGGTTTGGAAGCAATAGTCGATTTATAGGAAATACAGGGTGTAGTCTTTAATAGGAAATATGGTGGAATACAAGACTGGACCCTTTTGTGATTAAGAATATTACTTATATTATAGACCGATGTCTATGACTACGCTTACGTCTCTTCGTACTGTTAAAAAGACCCATCACATTCACTTTACTACACTGTGGAATTGAAAGATTCACAACACTATCGACATTGTCATTGCTACCATATGGAAAGGCCGTGCCTAGTTTTCTAATCCAATATTCTTCTCGTTGTCTACGGAAAGGTGTACTCAGAGATGCGCTATTAGTATGATGGTAAATCTTTTATAGAATTATAACTTTCGTTGACAAATTAGAATGATCAGGTTAATTAAAATGCTTGTATGGAAGCTGCTACAGCATATGGATCCAGTGCACGTTGGGGATGAGATATGGGTATCTGATAAATTTTTTTACTGACTCATTCCTTTGTGGTTTTTGAGATTTCATGGAAGTTTTATTTGCAGTTTATTTTAAAATTGCTTTTATCTCAACTTTTGTTTGCCGTTTGCACAGGATAGTTTTTTTTCGGTTTAAATGAAATTGATCCAAGCGTCTGTAAACATTATTAATATTTCTTATTCAAATTGATAGACATATTTGCTATGTGTCCAAGAATTCCATATATGTACATTGTTACAATCATTGAGGTAAAAAAAACATAGACATTTCTTTCTCTAGGATATATAAGGAATGAATTAAAAATGTTCTTTAAAACAATGATAATTTGACAAATCAATATGGAATCATTTTCACATAGTCTAGATTTAAGTCGATTGGTGTTGTCAATTTATCATAAAAAACATACAATTTTGTTCGAAAGATTAAATGAGTCCAAGATATCATCGCTGTATCCTCAATTTTTACCTAAAATGAGTATTTTGGCGCTCGTCTCTTGGCTTATAATTCTTAATCTTTTTAAACCCCCCCCCCCCCCAAGAAAAGAATATTCTAATAAAATTTGAAAGGGGTCATTATTCTACAGGTCAGTGTT